ATAAAATCAAATACCTGATGGCACATGTACACTGGAAGGCTCTCCGATTGCGACTTCTTCTACTTGATGTCCAACACTCACATTTGGACCAGTAGGATGACAACGATTTATATATGCGACATCGTCTTCTTCGTCTGATGAAAGCCCCAGCCCCAAGTTGTAGCTAGGGCACTCATTGTGCATCCTCATCATTTTGATCCTTTTGAAACGGTCACGACGTGCAACAGCGTCAACAATTGCATCTATGGTAGCTAGGTTCTTGGGGTTATTCCAGAAATCGTCGTCAACAATCTGAGTTGGTGCCTTAAAGGAGGACTCATCAGGGCAAGTGGCGGCATGCTGGCTAGGTTGACTAGGCATATGTTGTTTACCCTTTCCTTTAGAATCTTCATTACAAATACCAAGCAGCTTCTGTGCCGCACCTTGCATTTTCGTGAAATTCTCGTCACCCAACAGATCTCGCGGTGCATTCTCAACCAATTTTATAACTTCAATACCAGCCGTGGCAAGAATACGCGTCTTTGATGCAAATTCCCGCATAAATGCCTGAAACAAATAAAATGGTAAACGAATCGATTAAATGTGTAAAATACGAGAATGTCAACCATAAGATGGTAACAAATAAGTCATGCAACAACATATGGAACCAATAATACCAAACTGCAACAAATAACTACACATATCACACAAATGTTACGCATCTAGTGCACTAAATACACGTTTCATAAACACACATCACATCGTAATAAAGGGCCAGTATGCACATTATTACTACACCTGTTGCACCGTAGATTGTTAATTGTTGCAATAAATATAATATCATAATCGTATCATGCCAAAATAATAATAATAATAATAATAATAATAATAATAATAATAATAATAATAATAATAAAATGAAAAAAAGAAAAGACACGTAGTAAAATAAACTAATATGTATATTTACCTGGACATCGAGTTTCAATGCACAGTTCATGTCATTACCACTGGGGCTGCCATCACGTATTTCGGCAGGGTGACGAGCATCAGACACACGTACGTCGTCATCCACATAACCTCTCCCAAATGCGTCAGCCGCAATATCGTCTCGCTCTCTCGCTTTTAGCACTCTGTTATTCCATGATTTGAAAATCGGTAGTGATCTCGCTACGGTTCTAATCGATAACACAACCTTATCGACATAAAACAGCTGCACAAACAAAAGAACACAATAAAATCAAATAAATAAATAACAAACAAACAAAAAAAAAGGTGGAAAAAAAACAAGAAAGTACATAAAGTAAGCGTCATCAATGATCGAATGCACTTACCGTAAAAAATAGCAGCGGCCCAGTGAAATTCTTGCGCTTTTGATTAGCATTCCATGATTTTTTAGCACCCACCAGACACCGAATCAGGTATGCACACCAGTTCATCTTGCTGACATTCGACAAATCATCAAGCAAGTGAATTGTGCGTAAATTTGCCATTCCATTCTGTGAGCTCTCGAACAAACACGTAACGACGAGCACAACAAAATGACGCTTAAATCAGTCGTCGCTTCTATCACAAGTCTGAATCATCTCCAACACTGTTGTAGCCGTTATTTTGGTGGCAATGCTGACATTACACATATCGGCCCATTCTTTTAACGCTCCTGACTCTGTCTTTTTCTTCCGATTAGTGACCTCGATAGTTCCACGGGGCAGCCCCAGCACACTGTACACATCGTCCTCCTTCACGTGGATCTTTCCCCCATCATATAATTGCAGCTTCCGGTTCATATGGTTGAAATTATCAACCAGCCAATATCCCATTTTCGTCGGGGTTGCTGTTATCGTCAAATCGCGCAAGCATCCGAATCCCAATTCATGGACTGCATGTTTCTGGTCTTTGGACAAACCGGACACCGCCTTCACGAATATTGCTGGTGATGTTCTCGTGTGGACGGTCGGGAATGTACATCGGTTTCTGCTCGGGTATCTTCCAATGAATGCGTACCACCTTCTCCATTAACGTTCCGCTGCACTCTTCCATTACCTGGAAGTTAAATAAACTTTTTATGCAATCAAGTGTTGGGGTAATGAAAACAAATACAGTGTTCACGAGATGTAGAACTTTATACCGTCTCTTATTGTCGTCTCTCGACAACGTTCTGTTTGAGTCTGATTGGCGTCCTCGCTTTCTGGCAGTCTAGATATTTTTGCACGTTTCACACGTCCCTTTGCCTGAATCGGTGCAGGAATCTTACGCTTGTTTGCTGCGATTTATCAAACATTGTATGAGCATAATACGTACAAGTAATAAAATTATATAAACTTTCAAGGCTCATGTATATTAAGATAGAATATAAATAACATAATGTTAATATACCATCTCGTGCCACCACGTTTAAATCACTATCCCGTCGAGGCGCGCCATCAACGAAATCATCGTCATCCGAAGGGCCAGTCATGTTTGCACGTTTTTCGCGTTTCTTAGGTTGTTTCTGTGCATCGATGTTCTGTCTGATGGCTGCGACATAAAGAACATAAATTTAAATGAACGGAGTAACTAATAAACGTATTATAGCTAAAAAAATATATAATAAACATATGCGTACCTCCCTGTGCATGGTCGGCATCTTGTGGTACATTTTCTTGTTGAGATAAATTTAAACTCGCATGACGATGCGTCACTGAGATGATTGAAAAAAGTTATGAACACAACAAAAATAACTATGACATTCATAGACCACACTACAACAATATACCTATCGGAGCTACTGTAGGTCCAACTGATCCACCGTCAACGACTGATTGTGCACCTATATCGTCATATTAACATAAGCCACATATAGATAACGTATGAAAAATATCACAACACTCTTAGAAAATTAGCATCTTAACCTTTGTCGCCCGATTGTTCAATCGGCAGATCAGTTGACTCGTTGTTAATACCTGCACAATACATATATTAGAATAATTAATTACACAATGAGTGTTACACAGCCTGTCAACTAAAAGTGTGACACTCATGCTCTGATCAGGAAATTTATAAAAAATGGAGATATTAATATATTAATGTCAAAGGCACGTACAACTGAAATCCGACATGAGAGTCCATGCTATACAACCAAGAAATAGATCATATATAAATTTTCTCATATATAAATTTTATGATAACACTGGTCTGAAGGAAGGAAATCTTGAAGATAAGGTCAGAATCATACTAGTAAATACACTTTATTATCAGAAAAGCACATGTCATGCAATCAAGTCATATCTTATTATACTAACTAAATGGATTTAACGGGTGGTTTATTGTTACTGCAGAATACCGCAACAACTACCCCATACAAAGAAGCACAAGAGAAGTCACTAATACAAACCGATTTCTCCCAAACTGAACGCACTGAACAATTGGTAAATGAAAGTGCAAATCCACCATTTACAGAAGCTCAGAAGGCACACACCACAGAAAATGCTTTGTGGAAGGAAGAACCAGAGGTGGAGACACCCATGGACTCTGTTCCTGTACTTTCAGAGAATACTAAGGCAACTACTTTAACTCAAGACACAGAAACCAGTTTTATTGAGCATCAAGACATGGTTGTCGATCCACATGAAATCTCAGGTGGCAAATTATCCAATGATAAAACCAACGGGAAGGGGGAAATTCAGGAGGTTCAGGTGAAAATCTTACAAACAGTATAACACTATTTAATTAGCACTCACATTAAGAGGAACATGTATGAACAGGAAAAAAATTCTTTCATTAACTAGTAGGCACTAACATTAGTTCAATAAATAAAATTAAGTAATCAAAAGAAGAAGCATATAACCACACCCAACAACAAATATCTATACCTAAAGCGAAAAAAATCAAGAAAATAGGATCGTCCCAAACAACTAATTTATATGCCTAAAGCAAAAATGCAGATAACCACACCCAAATAACTAATTTTGTCTATAAATATTGCATAATAATTCTCAATATAACCTGTCATCCTCGAATGCCAGATCTCGAGATCTTCGAGTTCGTCCACTTATAGCAGGACCTTGAAATATAGCGTAAAAAACAAAAAAAAAAAAATCAAATAGAAAAAATCGCTGTCAACACGCTGACAATAAAAACGTATCAAAATAGCTAGATCTGGAACAATCTCACCTGAAAGTTGATCGATGATGAAAATCGGAGTGAAAATCGGCTCAAAACCTCAAACTAAATGTGAAATCAACGCCATTGACACCATAATTCCAATGACCGAAGCGAGCTCTTGAGGAAAGTAATAAATGTGTCTGCTTTAATTTTGCAGTTAATGTGTTCGAAAACGAGGGTTTACCCCAATCTGTTATGCAAAATGACGGTGGTGCCCTCGGGACTGTATTCATCACCTAAGAGTTGGGATTTAATTACGATTATGCCACCGCCTGGCATCAGATTTTAGTGCGCGAAATATTTGATCTGAACCGTTGATTGGACAGATCGGATGGTGCAAATTCATTCTTTTTTCTTTCACCAAGTCTTATTCTCATATGATCCCTTACCTATATATATATATATATATACTTCAAGTAGTTATATGATATATGTTATAAAAATAAATACAATATAAAATATGTAAGTTGCAAATATAACAAGTGTCATTCTAAAATATGCAATAATATATATTTTTTGATAGAAAAAAAATAAATAAATTTTAAAATATTTTTAGGATTAACTTAAAAATTTAAGAATAATTTTTTTTACAACGAGCCGTGTAATACTAGTATACTTTTAAAGTTCAAGATTGTGCCCAAAAA